GAGCACAATTCAAACTGCTGACTTTAGCCTATAAAGCCCTAAATGGTTCCGGCCCAGCTTACCTGTCTGAACATACCTCCCTCTGTGAACCACCTCAGAGATTAAGATTGACTGGGGAGTCCCTGCTCTGGGTCCTGCCTTCTTTGCAGGCATGACGTGAGGACGAGAGACAGGGCCTTCTCAGTGGTGGCCCCCTCGGCTGTGGAACTCCCTCCCCACTGACATTAGATCAGCACCAGTGACATTAGATCATCCTTCAGAAGGACAGTGAAAATGTGGCTTTGGGAGCAAGCCTTTGGAGAATAATTGCAATGCAATAATAGATATGGAATATGTGCAACAACTTTTGGAACAACCATGGACTACAATTATGGATGGCATGATTTTTAATAATGTAATGTTTTTAAATGTTTATTATGTATTTTAATTTTAATGTTCATGGAAATTGTATGTTGCTTTAAGGCAGGGGTCCTCAAACTTTTTAAACAGAGGGCCAGGTCACAGTCCCTCAAACTGTTGGAGGGCCGAATTATAATTTTTTAAAAAAGCATGAATGAATTCCTATGCACACTGCACATATCTTATTTGTAGTGCAAATAACACTTTAAAACATTACAATAATTAAAATGAATAACAATTTTAACAAATAGAAACATTAGTATTTCAATTGGAAGTGTGGGCCTCCTTTTGGCTGATGAGATAGGATTGTTGTTGTGTGCTTTCAAGTTGTATTGTCGAAGGCTTTCATGGCCGGAATCACTGGGTTGTTGTAGGTTTTTTCGGGCTATATGACCATGTTCTAGAGGCATTCTCTCCTGACGTTTCGCCTGCATCTATGGCAAGCATCCTCAGAGGTAGTTCTGAGGTCTCACTACCTCTGAGGGTGCTTGCCATAGATGTAGGCAAAACGTCAAGAGAGAATGCCTCTAGAACATGGCCATATAGCCCGAAAAAACCTACAACAATCCACTGCTTTCAAGTTGTTTCACACTTAGGTTGACCCTGAGCGAGGGCCAGGTAAATGGAGACCTTAGTTTGAGGACCCCTACTTTAAGGCATTGAATAACTGCCTATATGTAAGGCATCTTGAGTCCCCTTCGGGGTTGAAATAGGCAGGGCATAAATAAGGCAAATAAATAAAGAAATAAATAAAGAAATGCAAAAGGAAGGAGGGGAGAGGGGGAGACAACGAGAATTTCTCTTCTAATATCACTTCACTGCCTACATGCCAGAAAAGAAGTGGAACAGCCCAGTTGCACAAGTTGACAGGAACATGGCGGGATCACTAGATATAGATGAGGGGCAGGTAAATTGCAGGGAGGGGTCTGAAGGACTTCAATGCTGACTTGTCTTCCTTGAAAAATTAAGTCCGTAGAATCATTTCAATGACTTGCAAATGGCATGATCACCAGAATGATAAGAATTTCTTGCTGTTTTGAAATAGCAGGATATTAATACACAGAAGAAGTACATAGTTGTCTGCAAGTGAAATAAGTTATTATTTTTTTCAATTAGTATTGCTAGATTGTGTGAGAAGAACCACCCTTTAAGGCAGCGTTTCTCAACCTCGGGGCTGCGACCCCCACGAGGGTTGTTTGGCCATTTCTGAGGGGTCGTGGCCTCCTCCTTTGGCCCTCCCCTCCCCTCCTCTCACCCAGTGGAATGGCTGCGATTAATGCAATTCATCCTCTTCTTCTTCTTCCTCCTCCTCCTCCTCTCGGCCTTCAGCACGTGAAAAGCTTATCCCTGGAGCCCCCCCCCCTCCGCAGGATCTCCCTGCTTCTTCCTCCCTTCTTTTCCCTCACTTCCCCTTCCTCCTTCCCTCCCTCCCTGGGGCCTGTGGGCCTGGCCGTCCCCTTCCTGCATTCTGACCTCCTCTCCTCACTTGCCCTCTTCACCCGCAAGGGAGAAAGCAGCAGCAGCACGCGTCTCTTCCCTCTGCCTCTGAGCGCCACCAGTTCTCAAATTTTGGGGTATCAGGTTTTTGGTTCAGATCCCTTATTGTTTGAGTCCACAGTTCTCTCTGGATATAAGTGAACTACAACTCTAAAACTCATGGTCAGTGCCCACCAAACCCATCCAGTGAATCCAAGAGGCTACTACTATTATTATTATTAGTAGTATTAGTATTATTATATGGGGCAGAAAGGATGAGGGACCCTGCCATAAGCTTAACTCACTGTTGTTGTTGTTTTTGTTATTATATGGAGCAGAAAAGATGGGAGAACCTGCCATAAGCTTCACTTACTGTTGTTGTTATTAATAATAATATTAGTATTATTATATGGGGCAGAAAGGATGGGAGAATCTGCCATAAGTTTGACTTACTGTTGTTGTTATTATTAATAATATTAGTATTATTATATGGGGCAGAAAGGATGAGAGAACCTGCCATAAGCTTTACTTATTATTATTTGAAACACAACCAGATTAGTACACAGCAAACAAGATCACTATGCTGGCTGTTGTATTGGATCACATGTCTGACACTTCTCAAGTGTTGTTGTTGTTGTTGTTGTTGTTGTTGTTGTTGTTGTTATTTGAAGCAGAAAGGATGGGAGAGCCTGCCATAAGCATTACTTACTGTTGTTGTTGTTGTTGTTGTTGTTGTTATTATCATTATTGTTATTGCTCCTGCAGTAATTCTATCTCCCTGTCTGGCAGAAAGAAGGAGGCTGGACTGGATGGCCTTTGAGGTTCCCTTCCAACTGTCTGAGTCTTACAACAACAACAACAACAACAACAACAACAACAATAATAATTCTATCTCCCTGCATGGCAAAAAGAAGGGGGCTGGAGTAGATGGCCTTTGGGGTTCCCTTCCAACTGCCATAGTCTACTACTACTACTACTACTAATAATAATGTATAATAATGAAGGAGCCTAGGAACCCTTCCAAACAGGTCCTATATCCCCAAAATCTGATCTCAGGTTTTCTGTTTATCCCAGATTATCTGGCAGTGTGGACTCATATAATCCAGTTCAAAGCAGATAACCTGGGATGAGATCCTGGGATATAAGGACAGTGTAGATGGGGCCTAAGGGGCCTTCCAGACAGGCCCTGTATCCCAAGAACTGATCCCAGGTTTTCTGTTAATCCCAGATTTTCTGGCAGTGCAGACTCATAATCCAGTTCAAAGCAGATAACCTGGGATGAGATCCTGGGATATAAGGACAGTGTAGATGGGGCCTAAGGGCCCTTCCAGACAGGCCCTGTATCCCAAGATCTGATCCCAGGTTTTCTGTTAATCCCAGATTATCTGGCAGTGCAGACTCATACAATCCAGTTCAAAGCAGATAACCTGGGACAATATCCTGGGATATAGGACCCATCTGGAAGGGCCCCAGGATGAACCTAACACTGGATTTTCTTGGCAAGATGTCTTCAGAAGGAGGCTGTGTTTGCCTTCTTTGAGGCTGAGAGAGTGTGTCTTTCTCAAGATCACCCAGTGGCCATTAATTGGAATCCAAGTCTCTAGACTCCTAGTCCAAAACACATGCACATAATTAATTAATTTCACATATTTGTATTCTGTCCTTCTCACCCCCTGGAGGGGGACTCAGGGTGGCTTCAATAACAACAACAACAACGTATAATAATGATGATGATGAAGAAGATGATGATGATGTATAATAATAGAACAGTAATTCTATCTTCCTGCCTGGCAAAAAGATGGGGGCTGGATTTAATGGCCTTTGGGGTTTCCTTCCAACTGAGTTTTATAATAATAATAATAATAATAATAATAATAATAATAATAATAATAGTTTCCTTGAGTGACTGCAGGAGCAAAAACAAAAAACAAAACAAACAAAAAACACACCAAAAACAAACCCAAACCCTTCCAGTATTTTTTGTTTGTCATGGGAGTTCTGTGTGCCAAGTTTGGTTCAATTCCATCATTGGTGGAGTTCAGAATGCTCTTATTGTAGGTGAACTATAAATCCAAGCACTACAACTCCCAAATGTCAAGGTCTATTTCCCCAAAACTCCACCAGTGTGCTCATTGGGGCATAAAGAGTATTCTTGCCAAGTTTAGTCCGGATCCACCATTGTTTGTGTCCACAGTGCTTTCTGGATGTAGGTGAACTACAACTCCAAAACCCAAGGTCAATGCCCACCAAACCCTTCCAGTATTTTCTGTTGGTCATGGGAGCTCTGTGTGCCAAGTTTGGTTCAATTGTATCATTGGTGGAATTCAGAATGCTCTGATTGTAGGTGAACTATCAATCCAAACACTACAACTCCCAAATGTCAAGGTCTACTGCCAAACCCCACTAGTGTTCAAATATGGGCATATTGAGTATTTGTGCCAAGTTTGGTTCAGATCAGATCTATAGTGGTTTGGGTTCACAGTGCTCTCTGGATGTAGGTGAACTACATCTACCCTAAATCCCTGTGAATTCCTCCCAAACCCCCTCCAGTATTTTCTGTTTGTCATGGCCATTCTGTTTGCCAAGTTTGGTCCAGGTCTGTCAATCGTTGGGGTCTTAGTGGTCTGTGGAAGTCTGAGCTGAATTGGTTGAAAGTACTGCAAATCCCATCGTCCATTGTCCAAATTCCCCCAAACATATTGCTTTTGTGATTAATCACTATGCTTTAATAACAATGAAAATACATCCTGCATATCAGAGATTTACATTGTGATTCATAATAGTATTTATTTATTTATTTATTTATTTTAGACATTTATATCCTGTCCTTCTCACCCCCAGAGGGGGACTCAGGGAGGCTTATAACTGGTAACCATTAGATGCCAACAACAATAATAAAAATGTCAGATAAACATTAATTAAAACACCATCATAAGTTAAAAGACCATTTAAAAGAGACAGTAGCAAAATGACAGTAATGAATTAGCAACAAAATAATGTTATGGTTGGGGGTCACCACGACATGAGGAACTGTATTTAGGGGTCATGGCATTAGGATAACCACTGCTTTAAGGGGAAATTATAGAACAGAAGAAAAACATAGCTACTAAACTTCTTGAAATAATCTGCATTCATCTGCCATCTTAATGCATTTGAAGTAGCCATGGTCAGTGAAGAAATGCTGAACAGTTGCTTTAACAGGATCACTGAAATGCAAAAAGAAAAAAGAAAAAAAAGGAGGGGGGGAGAGAGAGCGAGATGTTAGCATAATGACTGCTGTGTTACTTTGGATATTGTTACATAAGCTCTATGGAATGAACTGTTTTGAAGTTTTGGCTTTGGAACATAGGTTAACATGACAATAAATAAGCAAGACTGAAGATCTAATGGCTTTTTAAATATATAATTGTGTTTGAACTGCAATATTTTCCCCATCAAGTTAGAGTTTTAGCACTTTCCAAAGTGCTTATATCTTCTTCTGAGTTAAATGATTGGCCTGGTCCTGGTCCGTAGAGTCTATCTGACCCCTTGAGGGTCTATTTCTTGCTGATTTGCTTTTACTTGTTCTCTAATTCAGCAGATCTGGTCAGACATCATTAATCATAAATCAGGAAGGTCTTGATCTTTTAACAGCCCAGCTGTTCAAGCATCTGTGTAGACATTGCAGATACCAAAAGAGACTTTTGCTTCTTGATTAGCTCCTATTTTTTACAATTGCCATGGCTTCTGCCTGGGGATTTAAGTTTCTTGCTTAAACTGATGCCCAAAGATAGTTGGAAAACCAGATAACTGTCTCCTTAAAATATCTGTGAGAAGTGACTGTGCTGGATGCAAACAACTCACAATTAGTTTGAAAGATGAATCTCCACAAATGTGTCTAAATTGTAACTGTGATTCAGGAAAAAAAGATATGTGAGGTGTCCTTCATTCCTAAATTCCTCTATATACCAAAGAACTCTCAAGCTGTTCAAATAAGCCTTAGATTGTAGCCAGAATCTCTAGAGTTTGCTTCACTCAGTCACTGTTCACCTTAGCTGTAATATTTATTTATTTACAGTATAGCATGGCATCAAACCCCCATGCAAGACTTTGGATAGGTTACTAAAAAACCCTTATTTAGGATTAAGAAGGATTGTCATTCTGTTTATTAAAATTATTGCGGTTCTGGTAATTAGAAATGGCTACTGTTAGATATGAATTTTTGGATTACTGGTATATGGATTCAAGAAACATTCTCTTAGTCAAACTAAATTGAAGAATCTTGCTGTTATGCATAGAGTCCACTGATCTTTTAAGTCACCTAGGATATCGATTTTCAATTAAAAATGCCAGTGAGTTCCCATGCCGTTATATTGCTGGCATATAATCACTGTGTGCCCAGCTAGGTCTCGAATCTCTTTTACCTTCTTTCATATTTGGCACCTAAGTCTCCAGGTGATCCCACATAATATCACAGAGAGGAGTGCTAACTCCAACTTTAATTACCTAGAGTAAATCCTGTGAATTGATGATTTGAACTTCTCCCCTTCAATTGAATCCCATTGCCAACGGATTGACTCTTGATAGGACTAATACTGGATTTAGTGTGTTAGTTTTTTCTCTAGATGCCTTATACTGCATCATTTTGATTCTTTTTTTGCATATACTAGACCTCTCTGAGCTGGTAACCTCAAGGCTTTGGTCTATAATTGTGATCAACCATGACCATTGGTCATACTGGCAGTGTCTGATGCGAGCTGTAACTGGAAACCACAAGATTGAAGAAGGCTGTGCTTAGACCATGAAATTTAAGTTTGTCCTGCAAAATGTCCTAATCCTCCCAAGGATTAACAGAATTTCCTGGCTTGATGTAATCAGTAGATTTCATCAGAATGTTGTTAATTCACTCTTCGGTGTTTCTAATGAAATATTGATTAGCCCGCGTCCTAGGTTTGTTCTCTGATCAGCTGCACTGCCTCTTCTTGTCCAGTTTTACAGTCTGCATTTTAGCACAAGTTTTTGATGTTCTTCCTTTATCTAGTTCAGGGGTCCTCAAACTTTTTAAACAGAGGGCCAGGTCACAGTCCCTCAAACTGTTGGAGGGCCATATTATTATTTGAAAAAGAAATGAATGAATTCCTATGCACACTGCACATAACTTATTTATGGTGCAAAAAACCCCCCACTTAAAACAATACAACAATTAAAATGAAGAACAATTTTAACAAATATAAACTTATTAGTATTTCAATGGCAAGTGTGGGCCTGCTTTTGGCTGATGAGATAGGATTCGTGTTGTTCTTGTGTGCTTTTAAGTTGTTTCAGACTTAGGTTGACCCTGAGCGAGGGCCAGGTAAATAACCTTGGAGGACCGTATCCGGCACCTGGGCCTTAGTTTGGGGACCCCAAATCTAGTTCCTCATCCTGTCTCTAGTTGTTCCATGGTGTCCACCTTTCCCAGACTTTGAACATATTTATTTATTTGCTATATTTATATATCGCTCTTCTCAGCCCGTAGGTGACATACAAAGCTGATTTAAGCTGTGTTGGCCATGAGACTAGTAAGAGAAAGAAGATAGAACTCAATGGTTCCAATGGATTTCAGTCAAACTACAAAGATAATAAAAATTAGAATTTTTAACTATGCATCGAACATAATACAGTATCATGACCTATATTCTATGCTGTCTACCTATACAAAATAGATGTAAGTAAGTAGATGATGTGTAGAATATGTATGTAACTAAGTAACATCCCGTGGTCTGACCACCCCAAATTACTTGACCAGATATCAGCTGTATAGGTGAAGGAGTTCCATGCTGCTGGTAATTGGGACACCGATAAATGATTTTCCACCCCCCTCCAATCAGTGTTCATGGGCTCATGGAGTATTCCTTTTCTAGATTTGCTTCCCAGTGGCAGCAGATGGCTTTTAATGCAGTGAATTTCAGTTTTTATTTCAGATTTCAAAGGAACTATCCAAGGTACTGAGGCCATTAGGAGACAAGGTTCAGTTCCTTGTGTGTAAAATGAAATGGACTTGACCCCAGCCATCTTCCTTGGGTAACCCAAAATGTTACAAAGTTGATCCAAGAATCTTCTGAATTGATCTGTGACATAAGGGTTAAAAGAGAAGGGGATGAGCCTGAAATTAAGGCATTGGCACCATATGTATTTGGGAGAAGCTTTCACTGGTTTTGTGGGACTAATCATTTGCTACTGTGAGAATAAAAAAATTGAAAACCTTTATATTTTTATCATCCTTTCAACCATTCATATTGAAAAAAGTTGGCGATTAAAACTCCAGATCCTAAGCAGTATACCTGAATCTTTTCAAACTACAACTTGTCCATTTACAAAGGCTCTATTTATCATGTCAGAAGCAAATTGAGAATACAGTTATAATGTATAGAAAAACCACAAACAAAGTTAAAAACTTGGCATCATACTAAATTTTCTTTGACCAGAAGCTGGCCACTTCGAGTGCCTCTGGTGTCATTGTATTGAGGCTTCATCTAGAAATAGAGTCTTTGTCAATGGATCATTTGTGAGGAGAATGTGGAATGAATAGACCACAGTTTGCAAGATGTACATGTGACCATGATTTGATAGTAACCAAAAGCAAAACCTCCTATGTGTCTTCAATGTTCATGTTTGTTAAATCTTGTATTGACAAACCATTGTTAATTGTTGTGTCTGGACAGTGTCACTGTCTCAATTAGTTCAGAATAATATAATTTGACAAATATGATCTTTCTTCAGTCTTGTTGCTGTACTTCTATGTGTCAATTCTGGACCTTATTAAAGCATTTAGTAAAACTAACAAATCTATAGTCACCTGTCTAGTTGTTAATCTTTTTCTTGATCATAGATCCAATGTAGCCATATATACCTTGCATAAAAGGATGATGAGAAGTCAGGGGTGATAGTGCACCCACTGTGGACTAATTATTTTTTTGTCTACCAACTTTTTTCCTTAGTTTTTTAAGTGCTACAAAATCCCTTTGCATATTGATATTTCAGAGTAATAGTGTTATGTCTTTGAATTTTGTCTCTATATATTAGTTTAGATTCTAAATCTTAGTTGCATATAGATAGAATTTTTCTGCTTTCAAGCATACAGCTAAATCCCATTGATTTGCAGCATTTAACAACACCATGCAAACCACTTTGTTGTGGGTGCCTGGGTTAACAGCTGGTTTCAATCATTTCCAACAGCCGGTAGGCTAGCTGGGATTTCTGAGAGTTGAAGTCTAAAAGACCCGGAGGGCCAGAGTTTGCCCATGCCTGATCTAAAGACTTACAAAAGCTAAGCAGTTTGGTGGCGGTTTGCACCTGAATACAGCAATGGTTCTGCCTATTTTCAACAAGCTTGTGTACCGGAAGTTTCAGTTCTCTGATATACCATATTTAGGGATGGGATCCTGAAACTATACCACTTACATGAAATAATATCTATTTCACCCAAGGGACATATTTCTAAGTATTCATGTAAAGCAGTGATTTCCCAACCATTGGTTCTCTGGGTGTTTTGGACTTTAGCTCCCACAGTTCCTAATAGCTGGCAAGCTGGCTGGTATTTCTGGGAGTTGAAGTCCAAAAAAATTGGAGAACCAAAGATTGGAAACTACTGATGTAAAAGTTTGTATTGCTTTTGCTCTTGAGCATGGCATCGAGGATCTAAAACAGGCACCCTCTGGGTGCCTGGTTTAACAGCTGGTTTTAACAGTTTCCAACAGCTGGTAGGCTAGCTGGGATTTCTGGGAGTTGAAGTCTAAAAGTCCTGGAGAGCCAGAGTTTGCCCATGTCTGATCTAAAGACTTTGAGGCTCAAGATTCAATAATCATGCCAACTGTGGACCTGTCTCAGGTAATATTGGACCCAAAATAAATGGCAACACAGTGGTAACTCTAACACTTAGGCCTTTGAATCAGTACCTGGAGTTGGCTTTGAATGGATGAGGAATAGTCCAAGATTTCATCTAGAATGAGATAGCAGTGTCCTAAACAGGGAAACCAGATATTATTTCTGGACTTGTAAAATCACTTAGATGTGGTTGTAGTTCTGCTGAAGGGTTAAGTACATTGTTGGGTATTTGTGGATCTAAATTAACTGGGGAAGCTTTGGTGGTGGCAGGAACCAAGAATGCTTTCTCTCAGTTTAGGCTGATATTGCTAACTGCAACACTATTCAGAGAGTGCTTAGCTACTACGTAATGTGAATGTGC